CGTTGCGTAAAAAATTGTAACGTGACTTATTTGAGGAGGCGTTGAAATTTAGTGTCGCGTGAACGTAGTAATATAATAATATAATTAATAATAATATAAGTAATAATATTATAATTAATAATAATATAATTTAGATATGTGTACACGGTAATGTACTGCCATAAAAAGTGAAGATAATGATACAGAATCAACTACTTTGCAAATAATGTGTGGCCCAAAATATCATAAAAAAATATGATAACACTTAAATAAAAAACATGAAACAAAACTTGTTCCTCTTTCATTGGTTATCTTAAATATTTTGGGAATCAATGTGAAAACATATTCATATTTAATTTTTCATATTCAAACAAAAGTTTTCAATTCAAAAATTTTTCAAAAACAATAAACTTAAGTTCTAACATAAACTCACATAATTTAAACAATAAAAACGCTGTAAATAAAAACTAAACCAAATAACATTGAACATTTTTTTTCCATTATTTATTTTTCGTTACCATTTTATACTATTGCTTTGCATGCTGTAGCAGTTTCTGTGTTTTTTTTTATTATTTTTAAAGAATAATAAAAAAAATATTCTAAAATGAAAAAGAGAATAATAAAAAAGCAGCATGTTGATCGCAGATGGCGTAAGATAATAAGAGAGATTAGGCAGCTTTCATACTCCTCTATTTCTAATTCTTGATGATGCCGACCAAGTAGAGAGCTCTCCTCATCAACAGACAATTATATAATGGACGCTCCATGACACTTCTCTATGCTACTCCTGCTATTTACGTGCCTGTCACGATAATTCATAAACGTAGTATTTCTATAAATCGATTATTTTTTATATATATTACATGTTTTAGTATGAAACAGGCATAACATATTTAACTATGCACAAATTCTTGTTAATGTACAGAAGGTATAATGGGATGAATAAAGGAGTGCAACAAAAACGACCAGTTGTATTGCACTTGAATTTTTAAATTCTGTTAACAAAGACAAACATCGGTTGAACTATTTATTTAAATCTTCTATAAATATGTTATATTTATTCATTTATATAATAATAATTTATTTATTTATTCAATCAATTCATTTGTAAACAGTTCTCGGACTTTTTGAAGTGCTGGCAATTTCGTGCGACATTAAATTTGGGACAAATACAAATTTCTAACAGCAACATCATCATGAGGAACAAAATACACAAAGAAATAACACAACATAGAAAAACAAGCGGGTCCTGTTGTCCGAAGCATCAACTAATAATAATATCTTTAGAAATAATCGCACCACATCATTTGAATCACAAAGGAAACGCTTGCACTCACATGAACTTCTATATATACAAACACGCATATATAGAAAAAAATATATAAATATATATATATTAGAAACGTAGTCTTCTCATAGATATTTTTTCGTGTCCTCTTGACGACTGTGTGCGTCTTCGAACTTCCTATATAGGGATGGCTACTACAACACTATCGCGTAGACTCACTATGCACAAAAGAGACGGTGCAGTTAAAATTATATTCGTATAAATAAATAAACAAATATATATATATATATATATATATATATATATATATATATATCTGTGTGTGTGTGTGTGTGTGTGTGTGTACACATTAATTTATGAAATCTACCAAATTTCTAGCGTTGGATAGTTTTTTATTAAATTTCTCAATATTTCTAAACAAATTCTTGTCGTCATTATTTATTTTATTAAAGTTAGAATAATATACGGTTTTCCAATTCATTCTCAGGTGTATAAGGTCTATTTTTTAGAAAATCTTTGAAAACGGTAACAATAGTGTTGTCGGTCTGTAATTACTTACATCGATTCTGTGGCCTTTTTATAATCAGGCATGATCTTGGCAGTTTTAAAACTATTTGGGAAAACGCCGTTTGAGAGAGACAAGTTGAAAAAATGTGTAACCGGAGAAACTATTTCATTTATAAGTATTTTCACAATAAACATGGTAAGATTATCACAAGATACTGATTTTTTCTTACTAAATTTATTGACATCTGACTACACTTCTAAGCAACTGGTTTTCTCCAGAAAAAAATGAACTACTGTTAAGTTTCGAAAAAATTTTCAGTTCAGTTCTAGAAGAGGAAATCGAGAATTCACACTGCCGTCTGTTAAAGACTAAAAAAAGGACATAACTAGGAATCATCTAAAAACAAAAGGTATATAAGAAAAGGTCAAAGTAAAAAAGCTAAGATGTTTAGGATATACTGCCGAATGCAGGAAGACGTGTTAGTTGCCACTACACCAACGAGAGTGAGAAATTGGAGGAAAGAATCTGGAAGGCCCGCCGAGATGAGAAGTGGATGAAATGGAAGGTGATACAAAATAAAATTACTGTAGTGCGAAGACAAAATAGTAGTCTGCTAAGAAATCTATACGAATCCTTGATTGAATGATTTATTGATTAATTAATAAATATCGATAGATTGATTGATTAATTGGTTGCGACTCCTAACAACACATTAAATTTATTGCTTATGAACTTATGAACGTGAATCACATCTTCACTGATCTTTATTGATATATCACGTTAACATTATTTAGAAACAAATTTAAGATGTTCAACAATTTTTTAAATTTATAATTTAACAATCTTTGTACCTAAAAATTGTATCACCATTAAATTTATTTTTCTATGAAACAATTGTTTATTTCGAAAAATTCTTACTCCAATAGAACTCGTAAAATTGTTTATATAAATGGAGGGGTAATTGTTTGTATAAATGGTGAAACTTTTAGAAAAAAAAATTGTTCCACACAATCAAGCATACGTATTTTTGCGTGCATGTGTATGTGCATTCGTCTATGTGTACGTGTGTCTGTGCATATGTTTGTGTAAGGATATGTGTGTATATGCTTCTGTGCAGTTTGCGCCTCAGCATACGTACATGTGTTTATGTAAGGGCGCATTATGAATAACACTTGCACGTGTGTAAGTGAATGTTTATGTAAACATGTGTATTTTTGTAATTATGTGAGTAAAATGTCCTATGCGTTTATGTGTAGAAACGTTTGTGTAATAACACAAATATATTTGGTATATGTGTAAGGAGATGCGTGTATGTGTGAATGCATGCGAATGCATTTGTGTGCACGTGCTTGTGAATGCATGAGCGTTGTTCATGTGTATATAGATGCGTGTTCGTTTGCGTCTATATGCGAGTCTGTGTATGCGTCAGTTGATGTGTGTTCGTTCACGCAAACTTGAAGAAAGAAGCTGCAGTGTGCATTGTGGGATGATATGCAGAAGATTCGCAAGGATTACAATTAATTGAGTGGACATCTCATGGGAAAGCACCATTCATGTAAGCAATAAAACTCAAATTAGTTCTTATCGCTTTCTTAATAGTTCGCTATTCTTTCCATGTTTTTTCGATTTAAACGAACCATTGTTTATTTTTAAATATATAAAACTAAGGAAGCTTAAATAATAAAAAAATAAATAGCAATTAGAATATTTGGAATTTATCAACACCCGTATAGAATGTATTCACCGACAATCCGAAAATGTTGGTACCAGTCTGCAGATTCTGTAGGGTAGAAAAATAATGAGAAAAAATTTAAAACAGTGCATTATTTAAGAAATTTTTTAAGCTGGATGTGATTCCGTTGTTACGTTCTCTCATAACGTGTAATCAGCCGCAATCATTATTCATCTGCTATGGTACTCCATATAAACTAGAACGAGTGTTTGACTACAACGTTTCTTTGTACAAGTGAACAAAAAGAGCATATTAGTTGTAGACATGTATTCTGGGAATAATTATAAGAGTTAAATGGAAGTCGATCAAGACATTTCAAATGGTATCAGTCCGCGGGCGTTCAGGTGGCATGCCCTGAATACAGCATGCGTCTTTAAAAAAAAGTACGAAGAAATGTATCTGTTAGCAGAAAAATAGTCATTATTATATAAGAAAAAGCTTTGCAATGTAGAAACAAAAGCAAAGTATGTCACCCATAAATCTTGCTTAAGTTTAATAAGAAGTAAAAATAAAATGTCTTTATATCATGGAAATTGTCAAATCGACAATACCTTAATTTATGTTTTGAAAATTACAAGAGCAATTTCGCAGGAACCGAACGTTTGTCACCTCTGCTGGACATCATGCTCCGCCGATTGAAATCCAGTTGAAAATGTTTAGGCGATTTAGTTAGACGAGTTTGGGGAAAGTAAATGAATGAAAAAACTTCCGTTTCATGGTTTTCATTTCATTTGAGACTACCCTCTCTTCCAAGTTTAATCATTGGATGCTTGTGGGAAGGGCAACTATAAGACCATATAAACTATATTAAGTATGTTTTTATAAAATTATTTAAAGAATCTTTATTTTTATCATTTTGTCTTAGGTTGTCCTATCCTTTTTTCATTGCCAAAAGTTTTTAATATTTGTAGTGATCTGGCTTCAAAGACATTTAGTTAAATCATTTTGTTCTGTTATATTAGTTTATGCACGAATTATCAATCTTAAAAAATCATTGCAAAAAATGGAATGTTCTATTTTCCAGCAGTGAATTAAAAAAGAAAATAAAGTGCTGCAACCGATTAGATTGATACGCATACGCAGGATTCAAAACCCATTTGACATAGACTACGAAACTTTGTTCCAGTAAAATTAACGAAGGTAAACGAGATAATAATCTCAATGCTGAAACAAGTTGTTGAGCCGTCATCAAGTTCCTGGATTTTCTAGTCGTCCTGATAGAAATCGAAATAGATGCAACCGCTTCTGTTTGAACTTTGAAAAGTTGTAATAATTCAAAAGGATATTAAGAAATTATAATTAGTAATGTACATTTGATTACAAATAATTGACTGTATCGTGTACACTTTATTCGATTTGCGTTGGTTCTTTTAAAAAACAAACTTGGAAATTAAATATTGTCAAATATATAAGTTGAAAAAAGGGCATTTAGTTTGTGATTGAAAATTACAAATAGTCTTTTTTAAACTGCGTCCACTTTTACCTCAGCTGTACAACTTTTTTTGATCTGCTATCAACTAAAACTAAACTAAACTAATTACTAAACGACTGCGATGCGTTCAATTTTGTGTGAATGCAAGGATGGAAACTTCGATTATGTATTCTCTTCACAAAATGAAGTTGGTGTTTTTACAGTTTGTGTTTGCCCTTCCTGGTTGTCGTTTATTTTTTTGTCAAAAAGCAATACTTCATCTGTTTCTAAATTCTGTAGCAAGCAAAGTAGGAGGGACAGTACTCTGATCAATGGGTGGTGTGTGGCATTCCCAGACATTTATATAAATTTATTTTTTCAGTTTTATTTATTTGTTTGTAATTTTAACTTAATATAGTTTAGTAGTTAAGACTTAAGTTAGAGAGTAAAAAAAAATTAACAAATTATTTAATTTTTCATTACTATTTAAAAAAATAAATTAAAAAAAATTAATGTATTTCTTCTCTTCACACATAATATTTTATTTTAATTATTTTGGAAAAGTAGTCTATTTAGATTTTTAACCTGTTTAGTTAGCCAATTGAAGATCTAATCTAGGCTAGACTAGGACAAGGTTACAAGTATCTTTGCCTAGGCTCGTTATTTTTAAGCTGTTAATTTTTAAATAAGTTATTCAAAATATTATGTTGATTTTCTATTTTTTTAAAATTTGGAACATATGTATGAATGATTCATTTGTTTGATTTGATAGCTAGTGGGATGCATTTCAGTTCAGTTCTGCGGCTAAATATTAGACTACCAATTTATTTTGTTATTCTGGTTAATTTACTCTATTCAGCATGTATTAATTATAAATAATTATTAAAATAATATCACAAAACTACTAATAAAGTAAATCGCTTAGTTGTAGCTTGTAATTATTTGTGTTGAGTAAATAAAGTTATAGGAATGTATATATTGTAATAAAAATGCTAAAAATTTTTATTAATCCTGTACATTTAATGTACATTTTAGGAAAACAGCATCAAATCATATAATAAACTTGGTAACATTAAGGCTTTTTCACTTTTAATTTTAAAAACAGTTTTAATTTTTTAGAATCTTTTTCAAATCAATTCAAATTTAATTTAGGCAGTTTAGAAATGTAGATTTTTATTATTTATTTATATGAATTAAAACTTTTTGTATGCTCAGATTTAACAAGATTTCAGTGTTTTATTAAGTTTAATTACAAGTTTGGCATCAAACTGATCGATTAATTTAAAGTAATAATTCCATTCTGTGATAATTTTTATAACTGTTTGATAATTCAATTGCCAAATTTTTTCACAAACAAATGTTAATATGTACTTACTGCAGGAGAGGAATGATTTTAAGGTGGGACAAAAGGAAGTGGCCATCAAAGTTGTTGCCTGCTACCTCGCTCGCCAACATTCGGTATATTTTTTTATACACATATTACAAAGTTTGTAAAAGCGTTTTTTTCCAGCGTTCAGTTTCTGCTTTTAAACATTATATTGAAAGATTTAAATGTAGAGATTGAGATTACCAGTTGAAAACCAACTAAAGGATGTTCTGGTGAAGTTATTCTCAAAGAAAGGCCAATCATCTTTCTCTCCTGCTATGTGTGTCTCAGGTTGCGTCTTGCAGATTGGTAGCATGGTCTCATGCCTCAAAGTCAACAACAGAGTTGTAGGTTGAATATTCATTTAACATTTCAATCTTCATTTTATTAAATTGAATTCTTTCAATTTATTTCCATTTTTGTTAACTGTGTAAGTGTGTTTGTTTCTTAATTACAATGATATATATATATATATATATTTATATATTTATATATATATATTAAATATTAATACAAGTTAAAATAATTTTAATTATCAATTAGAGGGAACAGATGTAAATTAAATCAAATATGTATGTGGAAATATGAATATTTGAATGTTTTAGTAGTGGAAGCAAATGACATGAACCATTCTGATTAATTTATTGAATATGGAAAGCAATGGTTTAACAATAATATATTGATCTATTTTTCATTTAGTTTGTTCAAGCATTGTTGCAAATTTTGTTAAAAATAAATTACTATTATACATGAATTTTATTTAAAAGTTAGTGATTATACTATCTTCATATTTTCAAATTGATGTACCACATCTTATAAAATATTTTTTGGAAATCAACTAATTGAATTTGAAGCTAGTATTCCACTGGACTCACAACCACATGGACGAGCTGATGTATGTGTGGTCAACGAGATATATGTTGGTAAACAAAACATTTTTCTCTCCGTTAACTAATTGGTCAATTGGTTCATTTTTCTAGTTATTATTATAATTATTTTATTTAATTTAAAAGCACTTTCAGAATGTAATCTGACGTAAATAGACGCACCAACTTCTTTTTTTGCAGGCATATTTTTTGTTGATGGTTGCTGTTGAAGTTCATTCTCCGACTCATGCATACTCGGTCCATGAAATTTTTTGGTTTACGTCCAATGCTTAGCATCAGCACGCAATCAAAATAATGTGGATGACTGCATGGAGTAGCAGGAGATAGTTTCAATGTTGAACAATCAATGGCAAATGATTGATAATGGCACACGTTTTGTCATGTTGCTAAAGCAAAAACTTTTGTTTTGAAAAATTTTGCTTGCATTTATTTTTCTTTCTGTTGGGTCTGAACTTGTTGTAGTTTTTGTCCAGAAAGTTTTTGCTGCTGTAGATGACGAACTATTGGAACGTTCTTCTACCACAATAAAATGAATTGATTATTAAACGATCGTTATTATTGTTATTTATTACATTTATCATTGTCAAAGTCAATTTTTTTTTCTTCAAGCACTTTTTAATTTTTCAGGATATCCTGCAGCAAGCTGGTGCTGGTCTAATCAACCAGGCTTGCTGGCATGCTATTGTAGTTGGACTTTTGTTTGCATGCGTGTAAAATGGCGTCATGTTTGTTATGCAAATCTTTTTTTCCTAAACTGCACTAAAAAGACATCAAACTTTAAAAATTTTATCAATCTCATTGAAAGAAAATTTTCATTCATAATTATTCACAATTAATTGTTTATATATATAATCGTCATCATTATGAACATCGTCATGACTGTTGGCTCCTTAGCTGGTTGCACGCTTTAATACTTCCTTTATGGTGAAAGCCAAATTACATCTCATCAATCTTGGTTCCTAATTATTGTTCTCATCGAAATTCTGCCCAACACTGTCACAGTGTGTTCCAACAGTTTGATTGTGCTTTAGCTCCACGATCTAATGGATTTTTTAACTTTATAGATAAGTAGTATCGAATGTTCTCCATCTACTTCCAGCCTTCAAAGTTTTTGCTGCAACTTTTTGGTAACCTGGAGGTTTACCCATTTTCATTTTCCGCATTCAACCTGCTCTTTTTATAGGCTCATTTGAAAAGTTTGAAGAATTTTTTAAACGTAATTCTAAATTATTGAACGGAACATAGTTATGATTGTTGCATGGAACATGATTATCATTGTATTTCTAATATTTCTTAACAGTTGACCTCGCGGCAGATGTTGACGACAGACAAGCAGTCCTGCTGATGAGTGAAGGTGTCAAGGCATACACAGCACTGCACTACCTTGCTGCCTTGAAAGCCAACGATCGTCTCGTCCTATGTGACGCCTCCTCATCTTTTGGATGCTTGCTTCTTCAACTTGCTAAATTATGGAAGGCCAATGTGGGTTTAAGTGGAGATAAAAAGAATATTTTCATTTTGTGCAATATTTTTTAAAATTTGGCTACAAAATCACCAACTAAACGTGATTTCAAAAATTTGCTGATGCATGTTTATTAAACACGTATGAAATAGTTAATATAGAATTTATTTATTTTTAATGTACATTCGATTATGGTTGGGTCAGGTTACTGCAATTGTGTCAAAGAAAGCTGATAAGAATTTCTTGCAAAGTCTCAGTCATCCTCCTGGTTACATTTTATAAAATCTTAATTCTTAAATTAAGAATTAAATTGTCAATGTTATATTTGTCTTTTAAACATTAAAATTTGAATGATTTTTCAACCACGCACGTGTTTGTATGATTGTATCTACTTTTGTCCTAAATAAACAAAGTTCGTTCTGCATGTTTAGGTCGTCGCTTCTATCGTAAATATTAAAAATTATATCTCAGCTGGTGTGTTTAACCCACAACTTTTTATTCTCGTCTGCATAAAATAATCTTGAATGTATTATTCTGAAAATAATTGTTCAAGCTCGTGTTCTTCAGAAGGTATAGTGTGTGTGTGTGTGTGTGTGTGTGTGTGTATGGTGTGTGTGGGGTGATGCGCAATCATCTTTCATAATGAAAGGAGTCAACAAACGCACTGCTCAACCATTTTCAATTTTAACAAATTATTGACTTTATTGTTTTTCATAAAAATCGTATTGAGTTGTTAACGTGTTCAACACTAAGAGACTGCATCGTAGATATGGAAAGCCATGCAGAGGCCGGTGCTACAAACCTAGTAAGCATGTTGATGGACGCCACAGGGCAGCTTGGAGCAGATATCATTGTCGATAATGGAGGTTACGCTGTTACTCATCATTTACTTTGGTACTGTTAGCTGGCAGTTAGGCCTTGCACTGATTTATAACAGTTTTATTACGTTGTTAACATCAATCTCATCTATCAACGTTTTTCTGCCATTCTGCCTCTTCAATATTTTTCCTTATGTCAACTGTTAAGTTTGATTGGCTCTGGAATATGTTGTAATTATTTTATTTTAGTGATTTATTTAAGTCTGAGCTTGCTGCTGAATGTTCAGTTAGGTTGTTTTCCTCGGAGAAAGACAGTTTGGCGGGTAAGGATGATTTGTCGTCGTGGAAGCCTCTGAAGCAAGAGATTATATCCAGTTTGTCGGTGGGTGGACGATGGGTGACGAGTAACCCCCTGCTCCAGGTCTTAAATTGTTTCTTATTAAAATATTTACTGATCATATTTATTGAAAGGGTTTTTAACCGGTATTAAAAATGTCATTAAACTTATTCACCAAACTTGTTAAGTCTGGAGTGGTTTAAATCAGGTATATTCAAAAATAAAAATTGCTTTTACATTTATTCATCAAGTTCGTTCGATATCAAGAGATGTCGTGCTTCGATTTCAATTTAATGCCTCTCATCAATCACATGCAGATAGACCCAGTGGATTCGATGCAGTTGTATTTGAAGCAAGCCAGCGTTGGGTATTTGTTTGACCAGGCTTGGACTTTGTCTTCGTGCAAACTTGGTAAATGGATTTGTATCCTTTGATGGCAATAAGCTCTATGCGTCCATTTTAACACGGATTAACTATGTAATGATTTTTTTTAAACTTAGGACTTCACGTTTATGAGTTACTACAAATTGTTTATTAAATTTGTATAATATTTGGGGAATATAAAGAATATGGAGTATTTTTTAAAAATTTAGTAGTTACTAGTAGACCTTAACATTAAGCGCAGGTATTGTTAAAGATTTGTTAGGAAAGGTTCAGGCTGGCAGCATTCAGCATCCCGCATGTGCGCCGCAGCCAGTTGCGTTCAGTGACCTGAAGAAACTGGAAGTCAGCAAGGCAGATGCAATTATTTGCATGGAAATCTGATATAAAAAACATTTACTTTGATGTCTTCCAAAAACTATATTTTGTCCATTCCGATTGATATGCTAACCTTTTGAAGTTATTTTTTCGCGATTTTCGTATTTTATAAAAATAATTTCAGAATTTTTTGTTTCAATTGTACAACAAAAATGCTGGTGTGAATTGCTCAAATAAAACTGGTTTGATCATTGATTCGAGATTAAAATGCCAAAAACACTAGGCTATATCAAACCCATTTACCAGAAATATGGGTACGGCTTCATGTTAAGAACTGGGCTTTGTTTGCTTTCCTGTAATGTAATTTGGGATAAACATTTGGCGTCGTGCCTACTGCCTAATAAACTTCAGCTGATTGATTCATTTGCACCAGATTCATAATTGAATTGAAATAAATTGAAATTAAGAACTATCATCCTCTTACGCGCGGAACCTTGTGGTAATGATATTCGCAACAGCTGAATGGCAATATTGTGTCGTTCCTGGGTCACGTATCCATTATGATTGGAACAACATACCTAAAGGTAATGATGTTGACGGTGCGAGGGTGTAACGGTAAAGTGCCTGGCATTGCTATTGCAATGACCGTATTCGACTGCAAAGAGGTCTCTGCTTATCACATTCAATGTGTGTGATGCGCTGTAAATTAGCTGCTGGTACCTCTGAAAAATATTAGAAAAATGTAACAAAAAAAAACAAATATATATCCGCAACAGCTAAAATACAAAATAATGTATAAAGAAAAAGCTTCCAGAACAACCCTCAGGCCGTATGTATATATTTATATAGAATATATGTATATACCCCATATATATTTTATAATATATGCGGATTTTTGTCTGTGAAATGATCCGGGGCACTTTCTAATGCTTTCAACTGATTCTTACTTTGAATGTTTAAAAAAGTTCTGATAAGTGAATCGCGGTAACTACTTAAACGAGAAAATATTATTTGCAAAATGAACATTTTTAATTATTTTTATGTTCTGTTGCATGATTGAACATTTTCTACTAAGACTTTAAATTTCGCCGTTGTTTTCCATTTCATTAAAACGTTTCATTTTTAATTAGTTTAAGCTTAATTAAATATTAAATTAAAATCATTCCTAACTTTACCAGTTTGTTTTAACTTCTAAGTGTTTTAATAAAAAACGTTTTATGAAATCCCTCAGATCAGCTGATATATGTGACCTGTGAATCAAACTAAAGGTGGCAGACATTCAAGAAGTCGATGGTTGGAAATACGGAAAAATCGTAATTTTCGAAAATTTTCGACGACATACCCTCCGGAATTCCAAAGCCGACGTATTTTTAAACAAATACAAATAGTAGGGATGTACTTTTCAGAATTGAAAAACATTTTAATTAACATATTATTCTATAAAGAAAAATATTCAAGTAGTTAAAAAAGAAGTAACTATTTTTAAAACACTCAACTAGCCATTATAAATTACTCGAAAAAAGTAGTTATAAACTACAGCTTTACTACAAGTGATTAACTTCTAGTTAACTATTTATAGTTGGTCATCTCTGGATTTACGTAAATACTTACCCATCTTCAAACACTGGCTTAATGGAATATACGAGTTAATCAATATATAAACATTGTTACAGTATGTGATCTTGACCCAGATATCGATATGTTTAAAATCGTATATATATGTAAATATATATTTATATATATAACTGAGTCAAGAGCACATACTGTAACAAAATAATGGCATTTTAAAATATCTTTACTATTTACTTTATATATATATATATATATATATATATATATATATATATATATATATATATTTTAAAAATATTTAAACATCTTACATACCTTATATATAATGCACTGAAGATGAGTTATTTATAACTCGAAATAGCTATTTGCAAATTTATTTAATAAAAATTTTTTAAAAAACAATAAAATGTCTAATTTCTCTGAAATTAATAAATTAAAAAGAAATATAAAAAAGTTGAACAATGTTGAAAGTAGTGTTGAT